AGAAGAAAGAAAACCGAAAAGCCCTCTGCGAAATTACGTGGCACAGTCTGGGTAAGATGTCCCTTTGAATCGATTCTTTGATGTCTGAGAATAATAAGCCATCAAAAGTATTAGGTTTTGCGGTCTTGCTCGTTGCGTCTTTGGGTCTCAGGTCTAATTCTAGTTATAACTGAAAATCTTTAACTTTAAAACATTAGTGCCCAACACGCATCTTCTGTATCATTTTCAGATTTTATCTAAGTTTTAAAGAAATTCTCATGTCCTATGACGTGTAATGAGCGAACATTTATTTGTAATGTGCAATTTTCGATATAGCATTTTGATTTTTTTTGATATCAAATTGGTTCGTGAAGTCCAAATCTTCTTCTACTTCTTCACTTGTTTTTTTAATTTTCCTTGCGTTATGTTAGAAAGTTAGTTTTAAATATTTACATTTCTTTGTGTTGAATAGGTGAACTATGTTCACTTCAAAAAGTCACCTGGCAGTGGTCTCATGTTTCATCATTTATCTGTGCTGTTTATCATACACCGTGATATTGTGTGAATGTAACTAACTAAAATTCACAATGCAATAACCTTAGTAATGGACGAGCTCTTTCCATACTGGCACTATCTGCTTATTTCTTTGTTTTCTAGTTTTACATGTCAACGTATTCTAAAAGTGATTTTCCACCACGCTACCGAAAATTGTATTAAAAATGACGTTTCTCTTATGTTAAACAGTATCCGAAAATCGTTTAAGCCTATTTTGAATTAAAAATGAATACTTTTTCTTGCGGAAAATTGTATTTCTTAGAGATAACATTCCTTTGAAATTAAGCTCTTCAATTCAGGTTTCTATTGTCCACCTCTCGCCCAGTTTAAAACACAATCATTGAGGCGCAGTCGATAGTAGTTTGCAACGCAGATGAGTCAACTGGTTTTTTGCGAAGCGGCTCCGGCCGGACAGTGGCTGCCACCGCAGGCTGCTGTCGAACGGGCGGCCGCTAATCGCTTACCGAGTAACAGGTTCCACACCCGGTGGCGGTCGCAGTCCGTCGGACTCTTTAAAACTCGCCCGCCCACGCGGCAGCGAGCGATCGCCTCATCCTGATGAGGATTGCGGATGTAGTACGCGGGAAGGGTATGTTTAGCTCTGTTCCTGGCTGGGAGGCAAGAAGTGAAACCTGGGCGGTGAGCTGGGTTGCTTTTTTTCCTTTTTATCAGTTCATTTTTCTTGGTGATGTTTAAATTCAGAGGAGCTCTGTATACGAAGTCACCAACTGCAAAAGCCGATAATCAAATTTTAGTTTAACTTTCACACAAATATGCTGTTACTTAGAATAAGCGTGATTCAATATCGTTTGGGATGTTTTCGATGTGCCAATTTTCGTGATTGAACGTTAATATTTTGCCTCTACCCGAGCTGTTTTCATTATCTTGACTTTCGTATTTTTCTTTTCCAACATCACATAATAAGTTGGTTAATTTAAAGATGTATACGAAATAGATTACATGCTGTCTATGAATTATTTTACTTATGTAAAAGACCGGAACGCTCTCAATGTTCTAATAATACGTAGGCACAATCAATATTTTCGCTCAACTTCATTTCATTTTGTACAGATTCAAAATACTGTTTCATTTCCCCTATTCTAGAAGTTATCAGCGTGATATGTAAATATTTACTTTGAGAACCGTGTAATTTTAATCAATATGTGAAATAATTCATACGGTGTGTGTTCATGACTAGGACCCACGTCGGAGTTATGGATTCAGGGATATCCGTATGTCATATTTAGCCATTATCTTTGTGCTGGGCAATATGCGTGGAACGATAATTGTTCCTGCAGATAGCAATTCATTCAATTCTACACTGCATTTTTAATGTCATGCACTATCAACTTCTCCTGTTCATAGTTCTACATTCAAGTAGCTCTTGATGTTCACGACGGACATGATTTGGAGCTCTAACCTAGCAGTAGATTGGAAGTCATTGCGGTAACATAACGTAAAGTAAAATGAAATTTATGCTTAACTAATCAAACGGCGCGCTAAGTAATATTATGTGTTGGGTATCAGAGTGTAGTTCAATGTCCAAAAATAAATGTTATGTTTTGTGAGTACATCGGTCGGCCATTATTTCGTGCTTGACCGCGGGTGTCATTAAATTCGATTGGTCGGGGTAAATCGCTGGCGGAAATCCTTTGTGCGAGGTGTTGGCGCGGCACCTAGGCCTAAACGCGGCGGCGGGTGCTGCGCTGCGCTGCTCCGCCGACGCCACCGACGCCGTCGACACCGGCGTCGCCGCCGCCCGCACGAAGCCCCACGAGCGCCTCCCTCGAATTGCCGGAGCGCTCCCTTAAAGGGTGACTGGAGTTGATGGGGGGGGGGAGAAGGGAAGTACGTGTTCGACAAACTCCTGCAGGTATTGGGGGCAGGGCATTGTCGCTGCGATAGGTGTTGCTGGGCTCGCCGAGTAGTGATTGCAATACGATATGCCAGGCGGTGGGAGCTTCGCTGGAATTTTATATATTGACGATAATTGAACTGGGAATGGAGTTTGGGAAACTTTGAAATTGTAAATTTTATTTACAATTGAAATTAATTACTTGGGAATATACAGGATTAAATGTGTGTGATTTCAGAAATAATTTAGATAAGATGCTTTTCTTCTTAACGATATTCATATTTCATGTGTTATATTTACGTCTCATAACTTTAACTAATTGCTCTTCATAATATTTTTTTTAACAGTCAGTTTCACACAGAGATTACGTTTTGCCTCAGTGCGTACCCTGAATATCAGTAGAAAAGAGGTTTGTATGTTATAAGCAAATATGGCGTAATCGAATCGTCATTTTACAATGATCTTTCTACTTTATTAATAATAATTACTGTAGTATTATAATAAATAAGAAAAGTATGTCAAATAATTTTCCTACTCAATATTTAAAATGATTAAAATCAAGTCAAATGAGGGAGTTGAACGTTTTTCATTAAATCTTATTTGTGTCGATACTTCTTTCATCCATATACTTTTCTTCTTCTGTCATAACAGCTCGAATTGTTTCTTGTTTGGTTAATTTGATTTAGATCATAAATGGGAACGAAATACTTTTTGTTGTACTCACTTTTCTTTATTACTTTATTTAATTACGTAACATTTTATCACTTTTTATTGTGTCAATCCGAATAGGATTTATTAAGTATATACTGAGCTGCGAAAAATGCCGAACTTACACAAACCTGGCATAAATCATAATAGTCTCCATAGGAACCGTGGGGCAAAATGTTCGTCGCATACCTGTACACGACGCGAACGCCTTATCGACGTGGACGCACGTGTTGCGTCGCACCCTAGGGGGACTGGGCTGTGTGCATAGTAGGGCACCGCTAACAACTGGAAAAGAGTTTTATCTGTGTTCGGTCTTCCCCTTGTTGATTTTTGAGAACGCACAGACTTCTGGCTTATCTCTTTTATTGCGAACTTCTATGACCTGTTTATTTATTCGTGGTCGCGAGAGAACTGCGAGCCGTTGAATTGAGTCCCGATGTTGGTATACCTGGCTCTAATTATCCAGCAGTTGTGATATTCCAAACGTAAGCGATAAACTGAATAGATAATTTAAATTGTAAATGGTGTTTACTGAACGATGTATTCATATGAATTATTTATTGTTTTCTGATCTCAGATCGTCCTTAGTTCGTATAGCTTGAAGTTGTCTTGTGAGTACCTGAACACAAACGTACGTTTTAGTGTACAGTGTGATTATAAATTATAAACTATGCACTGTTTACTTATAGGTGATAACAATTTTGCGATAATCTTTTCTTCTAAAATCACCCTAATTCGTTTTGTTTCGAACTCGCAGGTGTTGCCACTTGTGTAATCGCTCACCTCGCTCACAGCTGCTTACGTTCCCGCTCGCGAATACTTTTCGAAAGTGATTTAGCGTATCGGAGGCGGTCGGCTGTATGTAAATGTGGGGTAGTTCGTGCCGTTGGATAAGGCTCCCCCGCCCGCACTTGCGGCCGCGCCGCCGCCTCCAACGCCGTGCCCGTTGCCACCAGAGGTGTAACGCGTGTTGACTCGGCGGCGCTATCAGCGGCGCTGGCTGATAGGCGCGCCGCGGAGTGGGGCGGGCCCGCCGCGCTGGGCACTTGGCGAGTCGCGGGCGCCGACGCGCCTGCCGGCCGAATCCACGTGTGCCTGCCCACGATCCCATACCTATACTACATGTTTGGCAGTTTTAAGCACGGCGTAGAGTCCAGCAATTGACAGTATGTCGTTCTTCCGCATATGAGCAGAAGCTTATAAGTGTTGCGAAACTCGAACTGCGCAAGCGCAGAGGATTGCTGTCGATAGTTGTAAGGCAACGCTGTGCTGAAACTCCCTGTTTCGTATCAGCAATATAAGTATCTATATTGAAATAATGAGACTGCAGACATATTATATCTGTTACAATCATAATTTCAGTTTCGGGTAAGATTTTTGTTTCGCTGCTGCTTTCTTGTTTCAATGTCATACGAATCCAGCATGTACTTCTTGTTCTATTTGTGAGGGTAAAATATTTAGGGAAAATATATCTGAAGTACAACTACATTTTGAACACTGATATAAACAAATTTTGCATTTATCGCTCCAGTTTAAATCGTGTATGATATTAAGGATCGGTACTGATGGTTGATATCCACAATTCGTCAAATAATGTCTTCTTTTACCAGTAAAGTAAATATAACCTCTAGTTGTCAGTAATGCTGTCAGTCTTTTTTTTATTACTAAAATTGACGGCATACATTTGTGTAGCGTAATGCATTCTATGAACACAACATCAGTATAACGTTTCTAAGATACAATGGCACACATGAACTTGCAAAGCGTATCAAGGTGTGTTGTGCTATAATGTAGAGCGGATCGCCTGAAGTATTCGACGTTTGCATGAGAACTCCAGGAGGTCGGTTATTGTTTACCTGGGCGTCGCGTTGACTAGGCCAAGCGAACGGTTTGTGGGTAGCGGGCCGGGATCCGCCGCCAAGACGCGAGCTCGCACGCCTGCACGCGTCGCACGGACCCGCCCCGCACGCCCGTGCGTTGCGCACGCTTCCTGGCGTCTGGGCGCACCGCTGCGCTGGCGCGACACGCTCCTTTCGCGAGTGCGGTTCATAATTTCGCGGTCACTGCCTCCTCGTCTTTCTAAGGGAGGTTTAGAGTTTGGTAGGTATTAGTTCTATCGACCCACGAGTTTTCTCCACCCGAACAGGGTTTTCTGAAATACTGTGTCCTTACAGGTTTTTCGGTTAGTTGAAATACGTAACTTTGTGACAGAAGTGTTTTCATTAAATGGTGATTACTTCCAAAATCTCCGAACCTTCACTTTCCATATCCAATTAAATGCAAATAGTTTTTATGTGGAGGTTTACATTTTTTAAAAAAATGATAATTTGTGGGAAACTTTTGATAAGCCTCTAAGCCTGTTTCATTAAACCGTTAACTTCCCGCTATGAGATGTGGCGTCAAAAATTATGAATATTCGTCCTGATATTTAATTGGAAGATATTAATTTATTTGTACTAAATGTGCTGAAATACCAAATTTTCGAAATTTAAGAAAATTACTTTTTTCAGTGAGCGAATGCGCGCGTGTGCATTTGCCGTTTTATTCCGGTTATTCCGTGCGTTAATGAAAGAAACACTCTAGTGTGTTTAATCCCAACATTCGTTCCTTGCGTCGTCCTGATGGAGGAGCAGCTTCGAGGGCTGGCGAGGGTTTGCATGCGCTGCGGGATCGTCCCTCGGCGTGTAAATCCATCAACGGGGCGGACGGAGGGAGTATGTAAGAAACATCAACCTGAAAGTAAAGTAAATAATAATAATAATAATGATAATAATAATAAACAGGCACATGTTTCGAGAATTAACCCCATCTTTAGTGGCATCAAGTATCGTATATTAAACTCGTGTTACTTGGTGCCACGGAACGGGGGATAAGATTCCCGAAACAGGCGTCTCGTTAATTATTTACTACATAAAAACCGTTCGTGATATATCTTGAATGCTTATTGATCATTACGGATTCCCACATCATCTCTGCTGCCACTTCGTATGTTGCTGAAAGAAATAGTGGCACCGTTTACTAACTGTACTGAAACGTGCGTTCTCCACAGCTCCATATTTTGTCGTCCGATCCCTTGCGTGTTTGAGCACGAGGTGTGTGTTGGAGAGTCTGTTAGGTGCGTTGCGCGGCCGTGAATCCGTCAGCGGGGCGGAGGTGTTCCGGGCTCCTCCGCGGCCGCAGCCGTCGCGCGTCCACCTCGTCCTCTGCGAATCGCGCGGCTCCAAATTGTGGCGTTTATAATTAGACGCGCGGCGGGCGGCGGAAATGTAGGTTGCGGTGCGGTGTGCCGCGTCGCGTCGCCGCCGTCGCCGCCCCGTAGGCCCAACGGCGGCGTCTGTCGCTCAATGCGGCTGCGGTGACATGCTCGTTTTCGCTCACCCAAAGGCTGAAGAGAAGATGCATGCAGTCGAGAGTAGAGCGTGTACTGTTGTTGGCGAGTATGTACACGACTTGTGTAGATAAAAAAAGTAGGATTGTGCGGCTGGAATCAATAGACACTCAGCGGTGATGCATTTCGCCCTGAAGAAGGTCTCGGTATTACTACCGAAACATTAAAAACAATTAAACTATTCCTCGGTCGTGACGTTTCGTGGACAGCCAAGTAACTACGACTTGTATAGTTCCCTTTTCCGTGTTCGCATTACTGAATATAAGCGTAAGGAGTTTTTTGATAGTGCTGATTTTTTAAATTCTTCGAGGTTACGAATCTTTCTCCACGTCTCTACTTCCCATTGAAGGGCTTCCGTCACCTAAGAAGAACTTTCACACGACATTAATATCAATGGATTTTTACTATTTAGAAGCTCTCGCTTTGATTTGGTCGACTTGAAGTAGTGCTGGGGTAATTTCGCCACGCATTACCAATTTTTCATTAACTCCCTCGTGCTTGTAAAACCAATTTTATTTGCAAGATGTCAAAATCGGTCACAAAGACTTTGTGTATTTATTCTAACATTCAGGCATGTTGAAACGTACATTTTTCGGTAAATTGCATTCTATCCAATAGGGACCGTGAATTGTTTTGCACTTTCGTAAGAGATATAAATTTAAATGATAGGTTTGTGGTTAAGGTATTGTATTTCATCTGGCGTGCCATTAATATTGCATGATGCCTCTTCGCTTCTTCGAGTATTTCTTATATTGATGCACACTCTTGTCATCATTCTCATTAAAATAGCTTTTGCTACCTGTAAATGAAATGGCATTTACGTTTGTTTCATTTCTTTTACTTTTACTTCATAATATTACTTTATTTATTTCGCACAGTGTCATGTGTAAGTATGTAATATACAAGTATATGTGTACATCTACCAAGTCGTCTTGTGAAATCTTTGTTGCTTAATTTTTATTGGAAGCATTATCTCACTAAATGAATTTTAGGTGTGGCTGGAATATTATGGAAGCGTTTGGCAATTGCCGTTTCACAATACAGTGGCATTATCAATGTCGAAAACTCTTGCGATTGATCCGGATGTAGTTGTTGCAGGTTCTTACTAATCCTAACCACAGGCAACCGCGAGAAATTGTGTCGTTTTGATAAAGAACGTGGAAACGCAATATTGTACGGTTGTGTGATCATATATGTAATGATCTTACATCCATAATTCTGGAGAGTTTATAACTAGTAACTGAGTGCTAACAGCTTATGACATGTGCGGATATTAAAGTACATGAATGTAAAGACAATCGCTCTACGTCTAGGTAATATTCGATGATATGCAATACGTTTCTGAATAAAGTATGTATTTGCTATTAAAAGTATTACACGAAGGAATTAGGGTTTATTTTAAGACAAAACTTCCCTCATCATGTCTGGTACATTATGCCTTTGCTAAGCCGGATTTCATGTCAAAGTTAAGTATAAACTAATTATAGACAGCACCTTCCCGAAATAAATGAAACAAACTTCTCCGTCATAATAATAGGCTTACGTTTCTGCAGGAAGATATATTTCGAAAATTATGCTCCCTGAAGGAAAAGAAATGCCAAGTTCCATTCTTTTGAATAAATATCGACTTCCGGAAAATCAATAGTCCTATGTTTGTTGAAATTATGTCGCGCGATAACTTTGGGAGCCAAAGGAGCACCTTCACGAGAATGTCTTCCGCATCACTGGTGCTGCTGACACAGTTCCCGCGCCTCAACCACACAGTTCCTGCAGCTTCCGGGCATCGCCTCTCGATCGGTCTTTTTTATTTCCTCGCTCCATTTCTTTTTTCTTCTCCGCCCTCCTCCTTCAGCCTCGCCATGTGAGCACTCTTTTACTCTGGGCCTCAGATATGATAAGGACCTGGCTTTGCGGAAGGATCTGTGTTGTTTACTGGGAAACATCTGCCATGAATTGAGCGAAGTTTCAGTGCGAAGGTTACAATCTTTTCGCTTCGTATTGGAGATTTAAATATATTTATAAAATACGTTTATTTTTATTTCGTACTGGTTTGAACATCTAATCAAACTATGATCCTCATGGCTGTACACGGTTTGCGTGACTGCAATTTTCTAAATCGGTGCGATGAATTTTCGTGCCAAAAAGTTATATTTTTCTGTCGCAATGATGCAATTAGAAAACAAATTTTCAAAATTAAATTTATTAAATCTTGGAATTCCATAAAGACGATTCGATTAATATGAGACTGCAAAATGAAAAGAGAAACTGATGTACGTAGTTTAAAAAAAATAGTTATGTACGAGGTCAAACTTAATTTTAACTACGAAGTTGAAATATAATGTAAAGGAGTTAAATAACATGAATGTGTTTTCACTTAAAGCTAATATTTTGTGGTAGTAGTGGCAGTTAGGATTTTCTTCGTCGTCTTCGCTTCTTCTTCTCCTTTTGTTGCCTTTACTTCGTACTTGTTTTCCGTGCGCTCGCAGCTCGTGCTTGGAGCGCTGGCGAGCTAAACCTGCGCTGGCTCCCCTCATTCATGAAGCATCCGACTGCGCCTCCGTTGCCGCCGAGGTACTTTTCCGACGGCGGGGGAGGAGGGGGCGGCGGCCTTCGCCATGCTCGCTCGGGCGGCGGCTGCTCGCGTGCGACTCCATGCGAGAGCGCGACCGCCCCTCCCCCTCCCCTCCTCCTCCTCCCCTCCCCTTTCCCCCTCGAAGGGGGCTCCTCAACTGCCCGCGACCCCCTCTTCCACAGCTCATCTCCATGGCCGGTTCGACGTTCATTGTATGAGCTACCGGTTAAAACAGTGTTGGAGGGAACGAGACCCCGAGTACATAAAGAGATGCTTTGAACATGAATTTTGAGGCGGAGCTAATGTGACGTCATGTGTATTCCCTCTGGTGATTCGCTTAGAATGTGACAGTTGGAGCTGGTGAGAATATGGTGCCGTACCGACGTTCAAACAAATTATTTGGAAACTACGTTCTTAATTATTATTAAACTTGAAATAACAATTTTGCAAAAAGTGTTTTAAATAACTTTTGTTCTATGAAATTTCAATGCTACGTTTATTTTAATAACTGTAATGTTTAAACTTCACCAAAATATTTTGTTTTTTCAATTTAATAATCTGTTTTTTAAATTTCATTTATACGACAACTATTTTAGTGACAAAACACTCTCTCCAAATTGGTTTACCACAGACTATTATCTCTGATAATAATTGTAGCAATTCCAAGGGTACCAAAATAAATTTAACGGCGTGATAAGTGGCTTTCGATCTTGCTTTCTTATGTGGATGTGGTGAGCGCTTTATTCTCGAATAAGGATAGATTCCGTCGATGGCGAAACATCCCCAGTTCGACTCGCTCGTCCCATTCGTCCCGAAAGCGCCCCGGCGCTGAGGCAGCCGCGCGGGGTAAAATGCATCTCGTTAAGATGAGGCGGTATTTTTAGCGGTATTGCAGGAGCGGTTATTTATACAGGGGAAGCTGCGGCGGTGAAGGCGGCGGACGGAGCGTTCACGGCGCCATCTTGTGAGCGTATTTATTTTTCCGCGGTGAGCATTTTCACGCTTTGGACTCCACCGATCGTCCTTAATCTCTAGTTGTGTTCGGCACTCGCGGATGATCGCATGCGGCGTCTTTTGGTGTAGACGTGGATGGAGGTGACTATGAAGTTATATAAGGTAGAGCATCTATCGTTTCTAATTTCGCAGATCAAGTGTCAAAGGATAAATGGAACGGAAATAAATACATTAATGCACCGAAAATTAATGATTCTAATTACATTTTGACCTATTTTTGAAAAAAAGAATCCATAAATTGAAGTCTCTGGAGTAATTCAATACTACTGAGCATTTTTTTGAGGATGGTGGTAAGCCTGCTATAATGCAACAGTACAATGTTTAAAATACTAGCTTCCTATTAAATTTATTAATATACGCTTACCGTAATATCTGGTATTTTGCTGTTGATAAACTAAAAGTACATATCGGAAATTCCCTTCTTTTTTTTCTCACTAAAAGTTTGCTTTTTCTGATTGAGATCCTTATGTATCCAAGTATCTGCGCCGTCCCTTCCGCTCGCAGCTTCTCAGATACTCCTTTGAAAACGGGGGCAACTCGTCCGGTAAATTTTCCCGTGGAAAATACTTATCTGCAGCGTGTAAGTGACGGGCAAATATTGGCAACGAAATGCGGAAGTGAATTACTCCATTCCATTTGCCGCATACATAGGCAGATCTTTTATCGCTTGGGCCTAGTTCGGATCACGGCCCGGAAGTATCGACAGGTACGAGGAGGATCGCTAGATAACTTCTCTCTGCAGTGTTGAAGTGGGTCACACTCTTGCTTGCTTGTGATTGGACTTGACTCTGCGTTCAATGCAGGAAAAATTAATGGTTAGCTCGAACTAAAAGAGAAAATTCGTTTGATGAGGTTTTGAAATATACTGCAAAACGCAAGTTAATGGGATTACATTGACTCGCCCGTGGATGTCGAAAATCTTATGTTTCAATTAACATCCCCGGGTTTGAGGGACACATTGGTATATTTATAAATCAGTCACATCTTATTATATAATACCTAAACATACGAGGTTGCAGATTATTTTGGTGACATTTTCTAATTGGTTTCTTATATTAACTGGATAATATTTGCTGGAAAAAAGTACGAATGTGAAGACATTTTATAGAAAGAACATGATTATCGGCCAGGACTGACAAAGTAAAGCCAAGTCAATTACAGTCTTCTGAAGTAATGAAAGTGAGTGGTAGGGGAAGAAGGGTGTTGAACCGTACGTGGTTCTTCATGGATGATGCAAGGTATATGATTACTCGTAGCCGAGACATGAGCCTCCGTAGTCGCAAATGTCCAATACGTTGTAATAAGATTGGGCAAGGAGAACGGAGGGAAAGCGAAAACAAGAGCGACTGCGCTGCTACTGTAATGATGGTGCGCGTGAGGCGGGGAGGTGGGGGCGCGGCGAGGCGCTGGCGGACGTGGCGGGCTCGGCCCGCGCCCAATCGAGACATGATGGGGGGGGGGGAGGGGGAGAGGGGAAGAGGGAGGGAGGTGCGGCCTCTGTGAAATGCTGGGTCGTCGCGGGGCGCCGCCCTTTGCCTCACAACTCTTTCGCAACGCAGTTTTTTAAAATATTTTTTATTATATTGTTTTCCTAATGGTAATTGCACAGTTCAGTTTTACATTCACCAAACACATGTTTGATGACTTTTTTTAAAACTAAAATTAAACTTACAGCTAGCATTGCGGTTGTGGAAATTTAATAATTACATTTAATTAGGGTACTTTTTAGGAAATTGCTTTAGAAATATCTGAAAAGGGTACCTATTTTTCGTTCGTGTGGAATAGATAGGGTTTTTATGGCTAGGTTGAACCTCGTTAAATTATCAAAATAAGCCACACTTTCATAAAAATCAACACTATCGACTCTGACGATACACATACCACTAATCCACACTAACATCGAGTATCATGAGGCTTGCTGGAATGGGCGTGGTTTACATTGTTCTTACTGCCCCAACCCCTGCAATTATACTTTACAATATACATTTTAAAACCTTGTACTTCTCAGCAAATTAATTATTTATTTAGATCCCTGTGCATTGTTTTATTCGTGGCTAAGTTGCTATTCAGTGGATGTGCAAGTGCTTTTTAAACCTGTTTTCCTTGAAGATCATACCGTATATCCCAGAGAATGAATGTGGGAGGATACTAACCACGTCTCTTCTGGCTCATTGTGGGAGATACCACGAGTGTTGTTGCATTAATAACACTCTTCTCCCAACGCGTCATAAGAGAGTTTCTAAGTTTTACAGAAAAGAAAACTTCAAAGGATCTTTTCTACCTACTTGCAAGTCACACGACTCAGGAAAATTGTCATAAAACACGGTTACAGACCCGCTTAGTAAGATAAATCCTTTTTTTATTTACAAAGTCGCACATGAGAGTAAGTTGACTGTAATTTTCTACCATGTATGTTCTTAAAAGAGTTAAGAGATAAATGTAAAATAAATTATGGTTCTTGAGATTTTTTGTGAAGCTTTGTTCTGTTGCAAAAGTTGCCAGCGTCATGGCTAAACTGGCTGGAATTGCTGACAGGCTAAAACGCGATTATAACTTCAAATGCTCACAAGTCGAGTTTTGCGAAGAGCATTTGACCGTCATACATATTCAAATTTGAATTTGGAGATAATAAATGAACAAGATGCAACTACATTCTCAAAACGTTTAAGCAAATTTGTTCGAAAAGCTATTCGAAATTTCTGAAACGGAAACGAACAGAAAACAATTCCGTGAACTCTTCAATATTTTCACCTATTAATGGCACTTCCCGTTCAAACTAGAGAACTGTGGATTGGAGAGGGCTTCTTCAGATACGGACAAGCAAGCTCAGGCCCTAACGTTCAAGTAGCCGACGGCTTTCGTTCAAAACAATTTTAGTACGTTCACAGTGGAGCTGATTTTGGCCGAAATGTAGGGCAAGACGGACGAAATCAAAAGAAATAGATCGTCCGTCAGCCGATGTTTTCGAAGGCCGTCGAAAGAGGCCGTTCTGGTTCACTGTGACAATTGGTTTACTATAACGTATTTCAACGGCTTGAGAACATCCGGCAAAAGCGTCGGACGCAGGCTGACCGATATTTCGGCCAAAACGGGCTCCCCTGTGATCGCCGGATTGTGATAGCAGACGATCGCGTGTGATTGGACTGGTGTATGTGAGGGGCCAGACCATCCGGAGTGGCGGTGCCCTCATGCTCCGTGCGGGCGCCGCCATGCCCGGCGACGACGCAGCGAGGCGCCGCCTCCAAGGACAGCTGCGTGTCCTTGGCGCCGCCCCGCCGAGGACCGGTCCGCGGCTATTTCGGGCTCGCGTGCACCCGCGTGTGCAATTAGCGTTATTACCCGCTCATGACGTCAGGCACCGTACCGACCGCGGCTCTTGCTCTGCGGAACGAGTACTTTTTCCGATTTTCCTGTGGTTGAGATGGTGGTTCGGTGCTCTGAAAGTTTATTTCTTGTTCCATTTTCAGTACGTCGATTTCCGATATTTGTATTCTGAAATCGTAATTTAGTATTAACTTAACACAAGTTGGAAGATCAGAATTCGGAAGACAAAACACTTTTTTGTGTAATAAGTCGTTTTATAGATTTGATTTTCATTGATCATATTTAGGTAACTTTCATAAGAAATTGTGTCAATAGACTTCCGCAAATATTGTTCAAGGGTGGGTTTCTTCATTTGCATAAATGACACGTGCAATATAAATTATTTTGCTAATCATTGAGTTAGTGCAGGGTGTATGCGTTGGCCTGTCAGTTGGCAACACGGGGATCATACACATGTTTTTTTATTGCAAAGTGTGATGGACGTCATTGCAGAAGTTTGTAGTTGATGTGCGCCGCTCCCTGCTGTCCGTGTTCGTCGGGCGTCGAATGCTGGGTTCGCCGAAGAGTTTTTACGGAGCACTCCTGCTTAACAAATCGCGGGATCTTCCCCGGCGTTTCCCTCTCTGTCCACTCCCGCCCCCTCGGCGTGCCCACCTTGTTCTGTCTCGTCTCCTCCTATCCGCCCAGTCCTCTCCGCACTGCTACACTCTGCCCCCCAGTCCTCCCGCTCCCCTCTCGTTCCGCTCCATCCATTTCGTTCTGCCCCGCCTCGTGTCACCATAGCAACTCTTCTTCCGCCTCGTACCTACTCTCTATTGGGGCTAATGATTTCCAGTTGCTATCAGGTGAATTAGCTGATTCAAACTTCTTAAAAGATGTGTTCGAACTTTCTGTGGGTTTCTCAAAACTTACAATCACGGTCTTTAGGGGCTGTTTTACGTTGTTGTTGTTTTTCTTTTTCATTCGTTCTGAGAATTTGCTGGATCGAGTTTTTGTTAAAGCTCTGCTAAAGAGATGTTGAAATGCTTTTAGAGTATGTTATCGTTTTTAATGAACAGGGCTTCACAAAAGTACAACCGTGATTGAATCCAACGATACAGGTAATTATTGCCAGAGGATCGCACTACTGGCAGCTACAATGGAAGGAGATCGTAATTTAATGTATATTTTATGACTGCGGAAACACTATTGCATTTGAAACTTTTTGCTACATTCAGTGCTGAACCTGAAGTAGTCTGAATCTTCGGTTAGATTCTTTTCACTTCTTCCCTCTTTGAGACCTTATTTCCTCCCATGTTGTATATGGATTCGATCTTCTGAGAAGCCACAACACTGAATTAAAAACATAGCTCTAAGAATTCCAAACCATTCGAACTGGCCTCTTTGAAGAGGAATGCCGAACGAGTCTCAAAGTCAGTCAAGAACTGCGAGTTCGGAAGGACAAGTTACACATGGTGACGAACTTAGCTATAGATGGATATTTCGTTTTAATTTGATTACTGTGCGGGTAGGTTTATGCAACGTGCACAACACTAAGAGCACTTGTTAGATGTATAATTAGGACCTGGATTTGGAGGCAATAACAATAGGAGGCAGGAAATAGTAACGATTATAATTAAGAAACATAAACGTAGGGTGTTTTTTCGTTTCCGGAAGGTGGCGCGCGTTTTCATTTATGGTACGGAAGGGTCAGTAAGGGTGGAAGAACCTTTTTTATTTCTCGTTCAGGTGCCAATGAACCATGTCGCAACAGTGACTTCAACACACTTCTGCATGACTTGTTGTTTTAATTCATGCGAATGCAAGTGGGAATTCCATTGTAAGACACCTTATATAATTCTATAATTATTACAATAATTATCGCAACTCATCAAATGGTCCCAAGTTAAGCCATCAGAAGGATTAGTTCGTAATAGCTGTAACAGAAGCGTCTAACGAATGATTGGCTGGGAACCGTCTACATTCTAAACCTCTCCACATCCTCTCAATTCGCACTTGTCCAATGGCGATGCCCACGTAATGATGTTGTGTCAGGGAAATATAGAGTTTGCAGCACTCTCTGGCGCAGCAGGAACAAACCAACTCCATTAATCGTGATTACGTGACCTGTGTGGATCACGAGACTGGTCCCTCTAATTACACGCGATAATTCTGGCGATGTGTTGTTTTCCGCTATCGCTCTAAAGTGACGTTGGAGTTGGGCGCATGCCCCGAGGCTCAAAAGTGGCTCTTCATATCGTAAACAAAATACGTTTTTCACACTGCGCAGTGCCTTTCTAGGTTTGATATCGCCTCAGTTGTGTTATCGTTATGAGTAGTGCCTCCTACTAACACACACATTGACACATTCCACATTCATTCTCTCTCTCTCTCTCTCTCTCTCTCTCTCTCTCTCTCTCTCACACACACACAAAATCCAGTACACCTGCTGCGCGACCGCCCTTCGCCCGTGTCCTTTGTGGGCGTTGCCCGGGCAACAGCCGGGATGCCGCCCCTCTCGGTGCGTACCTGCGCGTCCGGCAGCCCGTTGCGGCGGCTGCGTGACTCTCTCGTCGAAGGAGATGCTCGCATGTTCGGAAATGAGTGCTACCAACATTGCCCTGCATACACTCATGCTTCTCTTGGTCCAGCTATTTTTTATTTTTTGTAAATTTATGGTCGTATTAACGAGGTCATTAGCGATCACGGTAGCGGTAACAGTATGATGTGATATGGTGATGATGAGCGGTGAAAGGATGGACATAAATACAACAATGTTAGAGGCTGGACTCGAACCCGCAATCCTTCAGTCAGAGATCGCTAGGCCAATACAGCCTTAACAATCTCAGCCGTCGGGACGACTGGTCCAGCTATGTTCACAAGGTTCACGTTGAAATCTCTCTGCGAATGGAATTTCTTTAATTTACATTCGTTTTCTAAATTGTCCCGTTATCGTTTTCGATGGTATCATGCCATTGTTATGTTTGTGTGCGTTTGGGATTGTTTTTCAAATTGATCAGTCTCTTAGTTTTAACTTATTTACTGCTTCTCATTCTTTGATCAAGCTATTCCATGGATCTTCGTGTTTCTTAGTTTGCTTAGTTTTAGCGCCTTGCATCTGTTCCCTCTCTCCTTATGCTTTATTTCCTTCCCGTTGACCGGCTTAATTCTTTCTCAATGTTAGTTCCCTGATTTCATCTTCATGTCGCCTCCCACCCTCTGCTCCCCGCTGCGCCCACAGCCGCCTTTCCCCGGCGGCCTCTGCCTATTCAATTTTCGTGCCCCTCTGCCTCCGTTCAGATCACGGCGAGCAATTAAGGTATTATCACTGCGGGGCGGCGACAGCTTAGGGGGGGGGGAGCGGGAATCGCTTCGCTGCGGGAGGCACCGGCCCCTTGACAGGAGTTGCGCCCCCTCATATCTATTTCGATTAGGCCAAGATGGAACGGTAGTGAGAGCAGAACATGGCTACCGGTCTTTTGAGGCGCGTCGCATTAGCTTCGATGATCACTCCCTCGATATTTTCGATTCTTTACATGAAAGTAGGTGGAAATGTGTTGTATGAGTTTATGTACCTCATTCTTTTTGGAAATATACTGTGCGTTCTATATAAATGTGAACTGCTCTTCGATGTATTTCAATAACATTTTCAAAAAAAGTCTCATTTAGGCCTACTCGAAATGACATGTTTAAAGCAATAATACTTGCGTTCAGTAAACCTTCTTCTTCTTCTTCTTCTTCTTCTTCTTCTTCTTCTATCTACTGCATCTGGTGTTGCCTTTTTACCTATATTATATATTTCTACATATAGTGTCCGCACATCTTATTTTCGTTCCCCCTTTTTTCTTCTTTTTTTTCTCTTTCTATTTTCCTGTCGCTTGTAGATGAAGTGACGTCTATTGTATCCCCTGTTTCCAATCAGGGTTGTAAAATTTTGTGACATTGTGTCCCAATCCACTCGAAGAACGGGCGGAAAAGCGCGTGCTAGGAAGGGCCAATTTCGCCTCCTGCCTCGCGCTTTGGGCCGAGCGCCCCCGGCGAGCCGCCCCCTCGGGCCCGACGCACAAGGCCCGCTTCACGAGGCCGCCTGCCCTTATCAACGCGCGCATTGTGCCGCGAATCGTGACGTCATCCTTGCTGGATCCTATTCTCCGTTTCAGCTGCGAGAAATCCCGCTGCACAACGTGGCGCGAGTTTGTGAAAGGCGTTGCGCCCAAATCGTGTTTCTGCGCAGTCACTTGTAAATTTGTTGAGATTCGGCGTCAAAATCGAATGGGAGTTCGGAATTTTTTCTGAGCACTATTGATTGCCGGATACATTATTAATACTGTGTCTGTTTTCGGACGCATAAACCTCTTTGCATTGCTTATGACATATTGGTGTCAGTTGCATTGACTGATTTAATTCAATATTACGTATAAAATTTCTGCTTTTGGCTATTTCAGTAAGCATTTATATTTTGCAGTACCGGCTTATTTTTCTTTCTTTCCATAAATATATTACATATAATTCTCTGAATTTTAACAATTAATCATGTGAAATGCAGTTTTACTTTAGCCTGATGTTCTCGTATTTACGGCTTATGAAAATGTGTGAACCGAGTATCTGACAGTAGACCCATGATGGAGATTATGATTACTTCCAATTTCACGAACATTGAGGAATATAAACCACACCATAAAGAGTTTCATGATTTAGAAGTCGTGAGACCATTTGTAATATTATCAAGAAATTGTTTGTGTTTCTAATTTTCTAACGACTGCTGTCATGTAATCTTACTGAAAGAATTATTAAAAATATTTAGTTTCAAGCAAGAAAATTATCTTAAAAGAAAATATTGTTCAGTTCTTAGGGAAAAGATCTCTGTGCTACCAGATTGTATTTTAAGCAGTCCATTAAGAAGTTGTGATGAGAAGAGGCGGCACTGGTGTCCGTATTTTGTTTCTTTTATGGCACAACTTTGTTGGTGATTTCATTTCACCCTTTCGCTTCGCCGTACATATGTACATCTGTGGCACGTACTTTTTTTTCGCTTTGAGACCTGCGATATTAAAATGTTAACTGGAATTTGCATTAAATATTCACATGGTGCAGCTAGTTGTTTTTGAGATGGACGAGGGTTTATGTTGTCAAATGTACTTCACCTCGAAACGCTAAATGTGGGAACCGAATTAATCCGAATATAGTCGATAGTCTTCTGTGCTAAGCCACCGCATCCGCCTTGAGCTATGACGGAATTAACCTGTAGCGGTCCGTGTGTCTGGGGCTCCCTTGGGAGAGTGCGTCGTGCACGGGGAGGTGGTGTCGTTTGCCCGCGCTCTTGACATTCAGCGCGAGGCGCTATCGCTCGTCAACGCGCACCTGGGGCGCGCGCTCGGAGGGTCAACGCTTCCTATGCGATAAGGCCGCCGCCGCCACCGCCTCCGCCTCCGCCGCCGCCAACGCCACCGCCGCCGCCGGTGCAGACTTCGGCGACCCGTCGCATGCCGGCCTCTCTAATGCGCGTTCCGTGTCTGTCAAGTACGCGCGGCCGAGCGCTGTTGTAATTTTTTTTTCTTCTTCTTTTGCTTCTTCTTCCTTGTCTGCGAACTGCCACGCTGTGATGCCCACCTTCATCGCGATCCGCAGTGGCCTCGTGTGGAACTAGTGGTTGCACATGGATTATTTTCTTCCAGTCGCCGAGAATTTCCAGTTTGTTACGCTTTGTTGTGGTCGTATACAATTGATTGTTGCGTGAATGATGTATCTGATATTCTTCCTACAGAAGTGTGTAATACATTCTAGCAAGGTTGATGCTTCCGTTCTGCCGGAAAGAAACTCGGGTTAGAGTATTTTCCATAAACTAACGTATGGTTGTCATTTTATGTTGTACGGTTTCTGTTGTTTTCAAAAGATATATCTTCTTCTACGTATGACAAAGGTCACGTGCTCACAAACTTCTTGCTCGTATTCCGGTCTCTGGTCCTGCTACATTGCAGTGAAACACGGTCATATCGAGGGGCGGACGTTACTATGACGTTACGCGTATGTGTGAAAAGGGCAGCATTTCTATGATCGTAAAGAAAGAATGTTCATTTAATCAGTTTCAACTCGGGTGTTTTTTGTCTTTTAGCTTCCACATTGTCTCTGAGTCCCTTAATTAGATAAGACTGCAATGAAATTAAGGTAGATTCTATGTAATGGGAAGCTTATCGTGTCAGTGTTCATGTCAAGGGCGTGTTTGTCAATTACCAGTCAAGGTATTTATGTCAACATCTTCAACATTGTTTCGATTTTTTAAAATATTTTCTTGTGTTTCTAACGTCTCTTCGTGTTTTTTCTTCCCTATCTCCTCTCCATGTTTACCTTTTTCTTCTTTCACCCTTTTCATTCGACTCCTATTTTCTCATCCTACTCTATATTTTCTTCCCACCGTTTCCTTATTACTATATTTTCTTCATCCACTCGACTTTATTATTGCGTTTTTTTATTTTACCATTTTACTTACACTACTACATTTCTCGGTTTTTCTTCTTTTTTTCTTCTTCCCTCCTCTCTTATCGCTTGATTCTAGTGTCGCTTCTCTCTGCTGGAGCCGTGTGTTGATCGCTGGCTGGCCTCCCAGGGAAAAGGAGTAAATAATTGGGCGGCAGGGGTGTCCAGGGCCGGCGGCGGAGCGCGCTGGTTGGGCTGTGGCCAGGCCCAGGCCCAGGCCCAGGCCCAAGTCCAAGCGCGCCCCGCAGCCTCTTTTCGCAACCCTCGTCGCCTCGCCCCAGCGCTTTTTGCGATGCATTTCTTGTTTATTTTGAGCGGAAGTTACGTGGACGCGAAATATATCGACTCGCGGGCCGAACACGTGGTGTTACAAAATGTCGATCTTTTTAAAACGATGATAGACATACGTACTTCCCGCTTGAAAGGAATTAAGGGAATATAAATTAAATCAGTAATATTTTTTATGTTAGGTAATCATGCGCAAATGTGTATGTTCTTTTTGTGTAAACGATTGGTTTGTAGACCTGAAGCTATTTACTCATCGATTATTTCGTAGTATTTGTAAATTGTGGAATCTTTCGGTAACTGTGAGCAACTAATGTGACTCACTCTGATATGAGGACAGATTCACCGTTATTTGGTTTTGCTGTTAAAAAAAGGTTATGGTTACTCACGTAGTGTTATCGCAATGCAGGCAATAGGAGAACATGTTACTAACAGAGCAACGTAACGGGAATGTCCGTTTTCCTTCTGTGGTCGTTTAGTTTTCACAAATTCTGTTTTTTCCCGCTATCCAGACCAATTGTGATGGAATGTTTACTTAGTAATTTTATTCATTAATATTGACAATACACTTCTGTAAAAGGTAAATAAAATATTCCTCCTTACTCTGTAGCAATATTCCTTGGAAGAATAAATAACGAAAAAACCTAATGTTTGATATAAAAAATAAATACTGTTTGTACGTGTCCTGAACTATCCTTTAAGATTGGATAACTTCAAACTACACATCATGCGTTTAGTCTGAATGAATATCTGCTGTTGATATTTTTCTAAAGTGGGTTTCGATGCGGTTGCAATTCAATACATTGATATTTAGTTTCTTTCCTCGCATTTTTGTTGCCGCTCTCATCTCTTCCAATAAATGGCTGTAAAGCGAAAAAAAGCCTGTGTGGGGACCGAAAAGACGAGTATTGATTAATGTTTCTGGATTACAAAATCATAACAACACCGTTCTGCTTTCCATATATTTGAACTATTGCTGCAAAAACAACCATTTTTCGGGCATTATTTGCCACTTTTGTAATTTTCGAAAATTGAAATAATTCAACGAAATTGTGCCGTTTCTATTTGCGAACATTGCTTTATTCGAGAAAAAATAAAGAATAATGAGTAGTAGTTTGTGACAAAATATTTTTAAAAACATTGCCTTCAGATCAAAATATTTGCGACAATTACAGATATTTTGCTACGTACATTGTCCTTTTTTACGATTTGTCTTTGTAGAAGAGATTTTATTAAGAAAAAATACCTCTTTTACATACTGTTGCTGTAGGAAGACGCCGAAAATTTGGAAACTAGTTCAGTTCTGAAAAATTCAATGTTTTCAACAAAAATTAAACTTGTCATTTCTTAAGCATCCTTTGCTTAACCAAAGATGATTATTTGAAACATTTGAAAGCGTTTTGAGAAAAATTTGGAAGTGATAAGGCTGTATGGACTGGAAATGATAAGGCTACTCATAAAATCAAAATATCATTTTGTAATTCGCAGGGTAGCGAATTTGGTCAGACCGATGAGGAAATATCAGGTATGAGCGTTTTAAACTGTGTGGCCACTTGCGTCAACCACGGACAGATAGACATATGGGACACGAAGGAAGGAGGGACGTTGTGTGGTGATCAATTTTTCAGTTTCTAGGATCCTTTACATGGGGATTATCATTAAAGGAAGTAATATTGTATATTTGGGAACAAGACTTATTAACTTCGGAAACAGGACACCACAATACAAGCATTTATGAAGAAAACTGGCGACTTTCCTTTACAGCGTTACAATACTTTTCATTACTACGTAAGTACGTAGTAGGTAAGACAGTAAAAAGCTATTGGGAGTTCGTTTTTCCAGTCTTGTTCTGTGGATTTGCCTTTCACTGGTTTTGATGGCAGGCCCTCGTCCATTACGTCTCCGGCAGCGCTGGCCGCCCGCCCTTGTTATTAAGTCGCCGGCCAGGTGAGAGGCCAACCGCCCTGGCCCCCTGCTCCGCCATTTCTCGAGGCGCAGCGGCCTGCCGGCCTGCCTTCGTGGCCCCGCGGGGCCCCCACCTGTCGCGGGCACGTGCCGGCCAGCTGCCCCCCGCGCACACCTTGTGAGCCCCCCTCCCCACCCTGTGCGCCTCCTTCTAAGCCGCGTTTTATTTGGAAGGACATAGCGTTTAAAGTAAGACTTATCCAATTGTACTATGTCGTCGTGACTTCTATTACCTTTATTAATTGTGTTTAAAGCGCGAATCGTTAAGCACATAGCTACATTGTCACGAGTGTTTTGCTTCCTTATCAGCAAAATATCCTCGATACCGCAAATGCTGATCAGCTACGAAATTTAGTGACGTGCGGCCCTGCAGGAGGGCGGGTTGAAGGGCGGGCCACTTGTCAGGGAGAGAAACGTTAGGGATTGGGGACATGAGGTTCGTCATTGCCAATATGATGGTTTCCAGCCAGTTCCGAGTAGTAGCGTTTTTTCCCTATTTTGCTCCCGTAGAACATTTTACCAGAATATCCTCTCGGCAACAGTAATTCGCATTGAAGCTCTAATGTAACACAAGTTTCCTGCGGATTTAAAACTTTTTCCTCCGGATCTGCCAGGGAGTGGAGGGGATGGTCGTTTTTGATTGAAAGGAGACGTGTCAATTAGCGTTAGTGAGATTTATTTCGAGCGCGGGGCGTCCGCCGCGCGATCTCCATTAGGCCTAATTGAGGCGCCGCGGTGAAGGAGTGCGCTGCGGGCGGGTGATGCGGGCGCTCGCGGCGGCGGCGGGGCCGTTGCCAAAATGTCAGGCGCTCCGAGCTCGCTGCACTCATGGGAAGCGATACGCCAACTCCCCGCTTTTCGTTTTCTCTGTAAAAGAATCATGAATGTTACTGCTGGATGCTTGTAAAAAAACCTTTGTACAAACTTTCTGTACAATCTTTTTACAAAAAACTAGTCACATTTGAAGAAGCAAGAAAACTGTTGAATTTTTATGAAGACGGTGTTTTTTCTTGGGTACCGCATCTAAAAACTTTTTTTAAATATTTTTCAATTTCATGACAAAAAGAACACTAATTATTGTAATATTAGATCGTCGCTCACAGAGAATTTTACATGTTTCGTTTTCCAATTTTATTTCTCTTAAGTATGTAAGCAGCGTTTCCTTCCCGGAAATGATAGTTGTCTATGCGACCTCCGTGGGTTGATCTTATAAGAAATCGTGAGATGTGACTGGCTTTGCGGCAGTCGGAGGCTTCGCGTCGCGCCGTTGGCAGCCTGCTGCAATCCACCTAAATTGACGCGCGCTATGTTGGCGGGTCTGCGGCAGCTGACTCGCTGCGCCGCGCACCTGGCGTGTCGTCTCGCTTCTCCTTCGCCGCCGCGCAGCACCTTAATTGGTTAATTGTTCGGCGCCGGAGAGGCCCAACCCTCGCCCCGCCCCGCCTCGCTCGCAGAAACTCTAGGACTTGGGCGCGTGCTCGGCCTCGTCGTCTCTCCACTCTGTCCCCGCTTTACCGCCCAGCCGTCGCGGCCGCTTCGCTGCCGCCGGCGTTTTTTCGTCCAGCCGCCGTCGTTCTGTCGCCGAGTTTGCTTCTCTGTGCAGTCTGCTTTGTCGTAGTCGTCGCTTAACAGCTTGCTTGTTCTGTTCCTCTACGATCTCGCCGTCAGCTGTATGGGACGCCTTTTGGACTATTCTGCGAAAAGGTTTCTCTTCTGTTTCCTTTGAGCAGCAATTTGATTTTGCGCTTCTCTGAACACGTGTGGTTCTGTTTTGTTTCCTTGTTTCCTCACTCATATATCGCTTTGCTGATTTTTTAACGTTCATTTCGATTCTCCGCACATTCTTCACTGCCAGTGCTGTTCTGGTTTAACTGTTTTTCGCTCGTGTACTCTCTCGATGTCTTGTGCTATCTGATCTCCCTTGTCCTTTCCGCTCTTCAGATCAATACATATTGACGTCAACTGGTGCTGAATGTAATACAAGAATCACTCGTCCTCATGTCTTCAATCGCTCACATTCTTATATCTGCCTTAAAGCTCGCGAAACTGGTTCGTTATTTTTATTCTATTGCACACTTTATGTACTTTCTAGGTGTAACGATTCATCTCGTACTTCTTATACTCGTTAAGCCAAATCGGATGCGTCTTATGAAAGGTCACTGGAAGGTTTCCAATGTTGTATTACTGAATCTCTTGAACGTCGTCTTCCCCCCCCCCCCCCTTTGTTTTGTTAATTTGGTATGACGAGCGCCTAAGCAGGCTCGGCGGTCACGAGACGATTCAGCGCAGGGCTTCTTCTTCTTCGTCTCCTCGGGGGACCGCGGTCGCGCCGGCGACTCGCGTGCAGGCCCGCCCCTCCCACCTCCTCTCCCCCTCCCTTCCCCTGCAGGACCCATCTCTCCGCACCCCCCGCGCTCCTGGAGACGTCGACCGCAAGCGCTTTGACGGCCGGGCCGGCGCCGCGCCGTGCTTCGCCGGAAGCTGCACGGCCGTGTGGCCGCGCCGCCTGTGATTTCC